AAGATCTTGGTTTTTACAGACATCTGATTAATTTACAAAGGTAAAGTGTTAAATCAACCACTAAATATAAGATCAAGTACTCTTTACTTATTAAGTTCCATAAGGTAATATATTTAAACATTATGTGTGTTTTCATAAATTGGTGAATGGAAAAAAGGTTTAATATTGCTTTGGTCTATGTCTTTGCTGAAACAAGGTTACTAAGTGTTAAGATTCTATCATGTGTAATTTATATACAAAGAGTATAAGAATTTTCAGTTGGGTTTCAATTGTAGTATTATAGTATCAAAAAACATGAAAGTCTTTCATCTTATTAAAGTGGAGTAATTTGTCTAAATCAGAAATTTTATAAGAGTTGTTTCAAAATATGAATTTGTAAAAAGGGTTAACGGTTAAAAAAGAGAGAAAAAGATTCAAGATGTGGAAATATATTTTAATATAAAAGGTTAAAGGAAAAAGAAATGTTTCTAGATGAGATAATCTCTGTGTGGTAAAGTAAAAAGGTGTAAAATGCCATTTAAAAAGATTTTGAGGAAACTAGACTTACTTTAAAAGCTTGAGAAAGGAAGAAAGAAAAAAAGGTATTTGTACATGGCAGATTGAGACAAAGCTTCTCAATGGAGTTAAAAAAAAAAGCCTTTGGTTGAAGGGCAGCCATGTAAACTAACATTAAAGCGATTTAAACAAAATCTAAGCCTCGTTTAAAAGAGTGAAGTTGTAGGTGGTGAAAAAGTACATTTAAAAGTACAGTATAGATGATAATTAAAAGGTTAAATTGAAGGTGGTCGAGATACCTTCATGGCGGAAAAAAGATTGCTTTATTGTATCATTCGAAGCCTAGTTAATCTTAAAGGCATTACTTTAAAAAAAATGGGAAGATAATAGGATAAAAGATATTTAGATAAAGAAGATTAAAAATTTAAAGTGAAAAACTTTAAAGACAGAAGTATAGAAAGTTAAAAAGAAAAAAGATAAAGAAGATGTAGAAAGATAAAAAAAATGTAGGAAGACAAGAATTTTAAACCCACAAAATAAAAAAAAAAAAAACTAGGAGGAAAATAAGCAACTAAGGGTAAAAATACAAACCTTAGGAAAAAAAAAACTAGAAGATAGAAATAAGATAGAAAATGGTTGAAAATGTCAAGTAAGGTATTACACAGATAGAAAATGCAAAAAGCTAAGACAACTATTAGATATAGACATACTTATTAAAGCAAAAAGAGGGAATTGGAAAGGGGTATATATCCCCCATAGATAAACTTAAAATAACCCTTTTTACTCTAAACTTTTTAAATTTGGATTCATCAGGACTTAGTGCTGCGGAAAGACATATGTATCCAAAAAATGTACATAAGCCTAAGGTACTTTGGAAAGGTATTCTAACAGGACAATGGAAAGGTCCTGACCCAGTGATTGTCTGGAGTCGGGGTTTTGTTTGTGTGTTTCCACAGGGAGAACAGCAGCCGATTTGGATTCCAGAGAGGTTAACTAAAACAGTTTCTACAGATCGAAAAGAAGATGATTTGACTCAAATCCATAACAGCTGATATCCAGAACTCCAGCTTGGCACTCAACAAGTAATGCTCAATTAAGGAGTTAACTTACTTTGGGAGGAAACGGATTTTGGGAGGAAATGGACATATTGATAGATTCCTCTGCTTTGAACTGCTTGCAGAACTTGCCTGGACTATGTAACTATCGTTTGATGGTGTCACTAGTGATGCAATTTTTATTTCCTTGCCAGCGCACCCCATGTTAATTGTGGTAGTGCTGACATATCTTTGCTGATGGTGTCACCAGTGATGCAATTTTTCCCAAGGAGCCGTCAATTGGCTTGGTGTCGTGGCATTTCTGTATCCTCCTCCCTTCTGCTAGTGATGGTCTAAAATTTGGGGGCCAATGGCTTATGCTGGACCGGTAGTCAGTGACGGGTATGATCCAATTGCAGTGGTATCAACCTAAGACAGGAGGCTGACGCCTAAAGGTCAGTTTTCCGATGACGGGTAAGAACCATATGTTGAATTGGACAACCTACCAGGCACGGTCCATAAGCCACATTAACCTCACTCCCCCACTGGCACCAAGGCCAAATTTGGGGGCCAACAGAGGTGAGGCAAAGAACCTCACCCCCCCACTGGTGCATAGACCTATCCACAAGTATGGCTGTATGCTGGACCGGTAGTCAGTGACGGGTATGATTCAATTGCAGTGGTATCAACCTAAGACAGGAGGCTGACGCCTAAAGGTCAGTTTTCCGATGACGGGTAAGAACCATATGTTGAATTGGACAACCTACCAGGCACGGTCCTTAAGCCACATTGCTTGTTGTTTAATTAATCAGAAGGGGGGAGATGCTGGGAGCCATTAGCCAAGTAAGTATGACAATTTCCTTGCCAGCATACCCCATGTTGCAGTGACATTGAATGTACTTAACCTTGCTCAAGGACCAAGGCAGATTAGGGTGTTCCCGGTTTTAAGATAATCTTGTTTAGGGCGTTCCCAGTTTAGGTTCCAGGTTTAAGGTTTAAGATTATTCCTGCTGGGAATAGGGCGTATCCTGCTGCCTGAGTTCCCCTTGAGTTCTCACGGGATTCAGACAGTATATTTTGGAGATAGAAGCCCAGTGGAGGTGAATTTGGGAGAGAAGGTGGATTTGGGAAGAGAACGTGGATTTCCCCAGAACATGATTGTAGACGGCTGGTGAGAGTTCAGGAATAAAGAGATGCTGTTTGAATCTACAAGCTGTGTGGTGGCTCGTGATTGTGTGCCCAGCCAGACTGCGGCATTTGTGCCCAGCCAGACTGCGGCAGATCCTTGCTTCTCATCACTCTTCTTGATCAAATTCAAGTTTTTTACACAAATTTGAATTTTCCTACAAAAATTTCCCTGACATTCCAACTTTCCCTCTTTGCTTGAGTACCCTTTCTGTTTGTCAGTCTTTGATTCAAGGAATTTACTTCTTTTCTTTATTGAGCAACAGATTTTTTTTTTTTTAAATACTTGGAGTATCAGGGAGGAAAAGTAAACAGTACAATGAGAAAAAATTATATTCTGTAACTCCATTTTTTCAGAGGCAAAAGTATATTTAAAACACTTAAGATATTTGGTGCACAGTTTTTAGCCATTTCCACTTAAAAAAAAAAGACAGATATCTAGAATCTAGCATAAAATCATTCCCATTTTTGGAAATGATATGCATAAAACGTTTCATAAACATGTAAATAATGAAATTGACAACTTAAAGGTATCTTTTTTAAAAAAAATATTTATTTCTTAGTCGTACACAACAACTTTATTTTGTTTATTTTTATGTGGTGCTGAGGATCAAACCCAGGGCCTCACACGTGCTAGACGAGCGCTCCACCGTTGAGCCACAACCCCAGCCCATTAAAGGTATCTTAAAATTATTGTTTTGGAAGAAAAACATGAACATCACTATTTTACAAATGTGTGGAACTTTTAAAAGTGCTGCTTTTACTATATTGATGATGCACAGAACAAAAACCTTGTTAAATTACATAACTTTACAAATGTAACTTACATCATTTGAGAGATTATTAAAACATTATGATATTAAAATGTACAATTTTTACCCATCAGAAACTTTCCCATACTGTAACTACTTAGTTTTTCTGGAATTAAAACACATGGATACTTTTTACCTGCTCAGATCTCAAAGGAATTAAAGGCTCACATTCCCCCGTCATTATTCTTTCCCGCTAAGCGTGTAAACAAAATATTGTTCTAGGTTTTATATACACTGCAGCTGCCTTGAAAACGCCTGATTTGGCTATTTGCCACGGTCCCAAGTAAGTTTTAAAAAGGGATCCTTGCTATTTTCAATATTTCCTTAGTATCCAAGGTTTCTTTTCCCAGTTATCTTTGCCTCAAGACAAATTTGTTTGATCTACTTTTTACCACAACGTTTACTTTTTTATGCTTCTAAGACTCTCACAACCAGAAGTCACGTTAATATTCTGTTGTCAGTTCTTCGCGCCTTCCTTTTTCCTCCCACGGAGCCATCTTGTCGCGACAACTCCCTTGGAGAGCGTAAAAGAGCAGAGCGCTGGACTTGACCCAGGAGGGTACCGTCACGTGGGTAATGGGGGTGGGGCTGGAAAGTTTACACTGGCGAAGAAGCGTAATGTTTATATCACTGTTGGTTAAACTTAACAGAGGTGGACCTGTAGGGCGCTTCATTGACCAGAAACGGGAAATCCAGTAGAAAGAGGAAAAACTAAACGCTCTTAGGAAGGGACTGGAGGCGGCACCTGGGCAGGGCGGGGCGGATGGGCACAGATGACAGACGGAGGGGGATGGTCGGAGCCGGAGCCGGAAGGGCGGAGCCGAGGGGGCGGGACAGAGCCAGCTGGGGGCGGGTCTGAGCCCGGGCAGGGAGGGCTGGGGCGGAGCCTGCTGGGAGCCGGGTGGAGCGAAGGCCCATGGGAGAGCTGACTTCTCCGGGTGGAGGACCCGCCTTGAGACCCATAAGCACCTGGTGGAAAGCAAAGGCTCTTTCTACACGTGGAGCACTTTTAATAAACACGTGAGGGAAGAAAGGCGGTGTGTGTGGAAAAACTAAATCAGAACCCTGGCGCCCTGCTCTAACCCCCAGGCAACGGCGTGTTTGCTGTGTTTCTGGGGGGTCTCTGTGCCCATCTGTTGAATTCCCTCAGCCCAGGAACAGGCTTTGAGCAAAGATCTTATTAGAGATGTGCTTCCTAGGCGTGCACGCCCGCGAAGCCCACGGGCACGCAGCGGAACAGGCCGTCAGCAACGGCGCCCAGGGTCCGCGGCGGGGGCGGGGCCCCGGGGGCGGGGCGGGGCGCCGAGGATGGGGCGTCTCTCCTGCTGTGGCGCTGGGGGCGGAGCCGTGGTGGGGGCGGAGCCGTGGGGGCGAGTGCTCGCGCCCGGCTGCCTGACCTCCCAAACGCCGGGTCCCATGACGTCACTCCGCCGTGACGCGCACGCTGTAGGAAAACTGTAAGTTTGCGAGGATCCTTGCAGCACCCTGGTTTTGTGGTGCTCTCTGGTCGCTGGCATTTCTGCGGCGGTGTTGGCTGTGGGCGTTTGAATCTTGGAAGATCAGGAGAGCCGCCGGACGTGGCAAAGGGACAGGTGCCCGCTCAGAGCGGGAGCGCGCCCTTCTGGGAGGGAGGCACCGAGGTGCCGGCAGGCGAGGCCTCACCCTGCAGGGCAGGGTCTGCACGTTTTTCCCCAGGGGCGGGGAAAGCCTGGGAGCCAGGGGGACATAAAAATGGACAGCCCTTTTACAAATTCCTTAGTGAAGGGATTCAGATTTTTACTCTTCATCTCTTCTGTCCTGCAACTGGACATGTTAAATCGAGGATGGAGAGTGCCTTCAGAGACTAGGAATCTTTATGTCCTGGTTTCCTGTGGGATCCCACAAGGGCCCAAATCGCTGAGGACAAGTTCTAAGACAACCACCTGCTGCCTCAGTTTCCTTTTTGTGTCCAGTGGATGGAAAACAGCCTCTGTCCTCCTAACTGTATCCCACAGGACCAGGAAGGTTACGAGAACACATGAGATAACACAGGCATGGAAAATGCTACAGGCTTATAAAAGTAATTGGCTGTTTGAGGTATGTGATGGTCGTTGGCCATGGTATACAGAGCTCTTGCGCACAGTTTTGCCTCTTCCTCACATCCTTAACTCCAAGCCATCTAACTGTGACTCTTAAGTCTGATGGGTTATCTGAGCTATTGCCTCAGAATTTGATGGATCAGGAATCAAAAACTAACTGGGATTATCACAGTGATCTTGGTAATACAATGCTCCCCTTTGTCTGGGTTTTGCAGAGAAAGCTTTTTGCATACTGGAATTAGCATGTTATACTCACACCCGTACACCGAATTTTAGGAGTTGTTGCTTTCTTGACTTGGAATATTCAGTCGTACCATCTGACTACTTGAATAGTTTGGCTAACTCTTGCCAGGGATTAGTACATTATTGATGAGTTAATACTAATTTATAATACTCTCAGACCCTGGGACAGATATTTGTTAAGTATTGAAGGGAAGAATATAGCACATTGGCATGTATTTATATAAGACATTAAGAGCTCACATTTCTGTAAACTCATTTCAAGAGAGTAATAACCTTCTACCTGTTGGAAGGAGCCTTAGAATCAGAAAGTAGGGCTTATAATTTTTGTTCTACCATTTACTAGTTTTGTGTTCAAAAACAAGTCACTCAAGCCTGAAACTTTGTTATCTCTAAAATGTAAGATGATTGTATAGCTGCTGTTCCTTTTTCAAGGGTCAGAGGAGATCATGAGTGTGAAAATGAAAGGCTTTCTAAGTATGATATTGTTATTAAGAGATTTGCATCAGTTCCTACCCTGAATGAGAAATGTGCATTCAAAAGTCAGGTTCTGAGTCAGAACTAGAAATATAGCTGCACAGCCTCCAACCTAGCGGAGCTCCTGTTACAGTTGGGATATAGACATCAAAGAATAAGTCCATAAAATAATTTTAGATAGGAATAAGTACAGTGAAAAAAAGAAAGGTGAGAGTGGGGAACAGGGAAGGTTGTTTTAGGTAGGATCTGTTGGGGGAGGCCATTTAAAGGAGGGGACAGTTTAATCTATTGAGTGAGGGGAAGAGCTTGAATAATAACATCTCAGGAAAGGATAATAATAGCAGTGAATGCTTTAGTAGAGCTTACATATGTAAGTACTGTTCTAAACTCTACATTCTTACGACAATCACATGAAGTAACTAACACTCTCTCCATTTTTATGAAGGAGGAAACAGACAAAGATGCGGGATTTGCCCAACTGAAATGTGGTAGAGACTGTGAATTTGGGCAATCTGACTTCCTAATCCATGCTTCATATGACTATATTTTTCTGCCCCAGAGCTCAGGACAGAGCTCTGAGGTGGAAACAAGACAGAAATGGTTGAAAAACAGCAAGGTGAGGGTAGAGTGTTCAGAGCACAATAAGAAAGGGGGAAAGTCGTGACAGATGAGGATGGAGGGCCTGCTAGGTTAGGGGGGGCCTTTGTAGGCTGTGTTGAAGTAAAGATATTATCCAAAGTGTAATGGAAAACTGGAAAGTTTGCATCAGGGAAGTGACATCTAGTTTAAGCTTTCTTGTATGGAGAATTAACTGTAGAGTCAGGAGGTAGGAATGAAATAAAAATGGCGAGATAGGCTATTGCTTACCTTTTGGGGGCCAGATGGGTGGTACTTTAGGCTAGGGCGAGTATTTGTGGAGATGATGTAAGTGTTAGAATTTGAAACATATTGACAGGACTTGTTGATGTGGAGTGGGAGGAAAAAGGAGAAATAATAAATTCTCAGTTTAAGCTGGAACAACCAGGAGAGCAGTGGTATAGTTTACTAAAATGAGAGGATGTGGAGAACAGGATTTGGGAGGAAAAGTATGAATTCAGCTTTAGATGCTTGTTAGACATAGTGATAATAATATAAAAGCTAGTAATAATAGTGTTATAATAAAAGTGTACGTGTAAATAGGGTTCCAGGCAGATTTTTAAGTACTTTTGCATAAATAATTCGTTTAATCCTCAAAATAGTTGTGTATGGTACCAGCTATTTTTCTGGGAGGGGTACTGGGATTGAACTCAGGGGCACTCACCACTGAGCCACATCCCCAGCTCTATTTTATATATATTTTTTTATTTATAGACAGGGTCTCACTGAGTTGCTTAGCATCTGGCCTTTGTTGAGACTGGCTTTGAACTTGCAATCCTCCTGCCCCAGCCTCCTAAACTGCTGGGATTATAGGTGTGCACAACTGAGCCCAGCCAGTAGGAGTTATTTTTGTTCCTATAAAGATGAGAAAATGAAGGTACAGAAAACTTCCTTAATTCGCCCCATTTGTGAGTGGGGAAGTTGAGATTCACCCCCAAGCATTCTCTGGCTTTGGAGTACATGCAGTTAATTTCTGTGACTGCCTCCCTATGGATGAGGTGACTAATATGAATGTGGAGTTGGGAGTGGTCAGTGTTGGAGATTCACATTTATATTTCTGAAGAGAAAACCTGCTTTTGTTCTTATCTAAGCCTGGGTTGGCAGTGGGAGTAAAGAACGTAAGGAGTGGGGCTGTACTGATAGGTTGTTCATTATTTGATTGGGTTCCTGCAGGCAAAGTCCAGTCTTTTCCCACTCGTCCCCCCACTGTAGATTCCATGAGGGCAAGGTTTCTCTCTTTTTAACTTCTCCATCTCTAGTCCTTATACATTGCCTGTCATGTAATAGTTGTTAAGGATGACTTTATATGAAAGGCATTTAATTAGGTTTTGGGAGTTCAGAGATGAATAACATAGCTCTCTTCCTGGAGGAGCAAAGTATGAGGAAAAACCTGTGGGGATAAAATTAGACTAAATGCATAAGTACATGCTGATTAGTTCATTTTGGTTTTCTGCACACCCCTATCCTACCCCATGACTTGAGAGATGGGGCATGAAAAGGGCAAAGGAGCAAAAGAATGCTTAAGTAATTGCAGGAAGAATTTAAGGCTCCCCAAGAGTCCTTTTCAACAAAAGAATTACTCAAAATCTTGCATATTTTACTACATTTGCATTAGTTTTATTTGGCACTGATATGATTTTTACAAAATGAAATAAATTGTGATATTTGACTATCATTGTGGAGCGATGAGTTTTTCCAGTTTATTACCTCAGTGTTGACAGGGCTCAAGAGTGAAACAGGGAATTGGCTTGAACTGTTTGTTGCAGTTTGCATAATAGAGGGTGATGGAAGGGCTGTGTGTGAAGCAGTTGGGCAGGTTTCCGCTAGTTTAAGTGTACCACACCAAATTTCCACATATTGGAATAAGTTTGAATTTCGCTGATCCACTCTTTAACATTGAGATATATTTTTTTGTTGTAAAAAGGGAATCTGGTAACGTGTCATAGGTGGAGTTATAGTTTGCCTCTCTTGTATCTGGAGCATTGTAGAACTAGAGACTAGACCCCCACCACTAATGTGTCTTGTTTCTGTAAATCAGTTTTAGGCATACCACAATCTCAACACAGTTGTCACAATTAACTAATATGAGTATTTCAAATTTGAACCATTAAAACATTATTTAAAATTGCAGTATTATAGATTTTATAATTAAGTTCAGAGTTTTTTTCTTATAATACACAAAATTATATTTTCTTTAGCTTTTGAAGTTTTTATTGGAAGAGTTGATCTGAATAACCAAATTCATCATTGCTCCAATAGGAACCCTCTACAAATATAAATGTAGAAGTGTGCCATCTCATTTTGTAGTTCACAGAATTTTAAATCTGTTTGTGTAGCTTCCCTAATTCAGTGGACTTGAAATGATTGGTATTTCTTTATATCACTTTTGTAATTAGCTTCCTTAAGAACATCAGATACCCATATATAAAATAGAATACCCATATATATAAAGTAGAATTAACTATTGGCCTGTTGATTGCATAGGCTTTGTGGAATTTTAAGTTCAGGCTCAGTGAGGGCAGATTGGTGATTATTTCATTGTTCAGGTAGCTCTCAGAAGAGCAGGTATGAGGGTAGGTCCTATTTGAAAACAAAAGAAGCCACTCTAACATTGAAGATGTGAAATATAGCATCCTAAATAATGAATAAAATTCAATTTCTTTTAAAATTTATACTTGTACAAGCAAAATTTAAAACCCCTTTAATGTTATTGTTACAAACACCCTGTAAAATATGTAGGGCTTACATGATCTTCATTATATATTTATCATATAAATATATGGAAATTTTATCTTACAGAAAACAATGTGTATAGCCAGTGATGGAACATACCAGGCAGTTACATGTAGTTCATAAGATTCTACTTCTGGTAGTTACTTTTACTTTTGCATATACCTTTTTGCTCATATATATTGGGAGTGATAACTAAACACTAGTTTTTGTATTTTTGAAACTGTAAATGTTTGAATAATTTAAGTAATTTGTATAGATTTAAATAATTTATGAATTGTGATTCATAATTTCTTAGAAATTAAGATCTCTGGCTTGATTTTTTTTCATGTAAATTCTAATGGCTACTACTTAGTAAGTCTGGGTGAGACTAAGCTTTAGTGACAGGTCGACCAAGTTATCATTCCAAAAGAATAATCAAAAGCAAATTCTTAGTATTAAACACAAAAAAGTTATCCCTTTCCTGTGGATGGAAGGCATAGATTAACCCTAGCTACCTACTATAACTGGAGTTCTCTTTAAGTTGCTGCCCTCCCACAGGCAGCATTTGTTTATTTGGTTCTTATGTTTCAAAGCTGCTAGTTTCAAGCTCCATTCTGAGCCACCAGTCTGTAGGGAGGTAAATGTGAGATAAATATTGGAATATGGTATTATGAATTTAGACTGGTATGAGGATAATTTTGTTTCATCCAGCCTACCCTGGGGATTTTGCAATGTTTAGAGACATCTTTGATTGTCACAACTGTGTGTTGGGTATCTAGTGAGTTGATGCCAGAAATGTTACTAAACATCCTAGAATTCATCAGATACCCTATTCCACCCCAAATAAATATTAACCAGTTTAAAACGTCAGTGCTGTTGATGTTGATAATTTGTATAATCTCTTAAACACTTCATTTTATTTCACTCCTCCTTTCCAGGCCTCTCCCCTCACATCCCGCTCCCTTCCTGTGTTATGTTTCTATCACTGGGACAGAATATCTGAGATAATCTTATAAGTTAGGAAAGACTTCTTTTGGCCTAGGGTTTCAGTGTGGGTCAGTCTATTGTTTCTTGGCCCATTGCTTTGGGTCTGTGGTACATCATGGTGGGGAGTGCACAATGGAAGACATCTACATACCTCATGGTGACTGGGGAACAGAGAGTGGGAGAGAGGGAGGAAGAGGATGAGGTTCCAACATCCCTTTCAAGGTCATGCTGCAATGACCAGATTTTCTTCCACTACGCCCCATAACCTGAAGTTTACCCTCTTCCCAGGAAGGCCACAGGCTGGCAACCAAACCTTTAGCACGTGAACCTTTGGGGGACATTTAAGATTGAAACCATTATTCTTTTATATTCTCTTTTTATTTTATATTCTGTTATATTCTCTTTTTATCTCTCTCTCCTGCCTGTCTCCCTCTTTCCCTCCCTTCTTCCATTCACTCTTTCTGCTTTCCCCAGTGGAGGTGGTAGTTTTAAGTGGCAAATGCGGGAACTGGAACAAAAGGTTTTGTTGTACTGTTTTTAGTTTGTTGGATAGTTAGGCGAATTTGATTCATTTACTGCATAGAAAAACATTCTTGAAACTAGTTAAAATAACCGTAAGTATTTTTGGTTGTCATTGTATCTAGTGCTTTTGTGTTTGTTTTTAACTGTGAAAAAAAAATCTTTTTACTAAAATTAATTTAATTTGGACATTATACAGTCTTGGGTTGTTGCTAGTATGAATTTCCTTCAATTTTTTTTTTGTAGATACTGAATTAGCTATCTTATAGTTAGTAACTTGGTTGTTTTTCAAAGATCCTTTTTATATTAGTTTTCATATGTTATTGTCACAAACACCCTATAAAATATGTAGGGCTTACATAATCTTCATTATTTGACAGATAAGGAAACAGACATAGGTCAAATGACTGTCCATATTGTTGGAGCAAGTTAGTGACAAGAGCAGATCTAGGATTTGGAGATAGGTTCACCCTTTTAAAGTCACCAGTTATTTGTTATCCCATTTAATCTTCCTAAAAACCCTATGCAATAGAGTAATTATTCCCACTGTATAGATAAGAAAGCAGGTTTAAGGAGACTAAATAGTATATTCAAGGTCACCCAACTCATAATGTAATTTTGACTGTTTCCATTGAGTTATTCTGCCTCTCTTAAAAAAATTAAAATTGACAATTTCTGTATAAATTCATCTAATCTATGATTACATGACTAAATAGGTTTCTGGGCACATAGTCTAATTTGCCACTTGAATCAGTTGGTAAATTGTGTGTTTGAAATACTGTTCAGATATGAAACTCAGTGGAAGTTCACTGAGTTTTGTTTTACCATAAGATAGCACTATTTGCTATTTAGAATATATTTTTTTGAGACCTCTGAATCCAAAAGTAGTCTAAGAGATAGCTCTCAGCTGTTTTTTTGAGCATAGTTAGGGCAGGTGGCCTGCATGGTAGGACTGACATTGCTATTCTGATACAGAGGGATTTGTTCAAGAGTTAAGCCTCCCATTTATCTCATTTTCTATTTTGAATCCTTTTAGAAAATGTGATAAGTTGGGTAGCCATTGTTTATATCATATTTGAGGCTGTTTCTCTCCACTGTAACCTAAACCTCAGATTGACTTGACTTTAACAACAGAGTAAATGATAATAATACAGTTTTTATTTTCTTCCTGAAACATTGAGAGTTTATTCTACTCTAATTGAGCACATTATTTTTGTGAGGTGTTAGGAACTGGTGATCAATATTTTATTGCCTAGGTTGGGGAACTTAAGTGTTTATTAGTTTGCCTGAATAAATCCAAGATAGGATTTTGAATTTAGGTTTCAGGTTTTAAAGAACCAAGCTAGACAGTATTTTCATTAGGTTAAAAAGAATATATACTTAAATATTTAAGCAGTTTTAAAAAGATTATTTGATGTTATTCAATTCTTGGTTTTAGTGGTTGGATATTGTAATGTTTCGTATTGTACATCCATTGGTTGGATTTGGACCATAGATAGTATTGAAATTATGGGTTTTGGAGGAAGGGAGAGGAGGAGTCTGACCTTTGCTAGTGTGCATGTATATTGGGCAAGAAGAATTATACTTTTCCTTAAAAGACAAAGACTCCAAACTTGCCATTATATTGGATTATTGTAACAAATATTTTTCTTACCTCAGTGAAGAAAAATGTTCATATCCAAATACTCATGTTATTTATTAATGTGAAGAGATCACCATACAATATTGCTGAAACAAAGCTGAATTTTATACTTCCTAAGCAAGGGAGAACTATGCTTGGAGAATATTGTCCTCCTAGAAGGCAAAAAACATGATCTTATGAGGTTTTGAGGAAGCATGGAGTTTTAAGATTGGATGATTTTCAAAAGTCAAACAGTTTAAGGATTGGATGATTTTAAGCTTGGAGTTTAGAGACTGACTGACTTTGAGAAGGTTACTGAATCCAGGAAGTTGCTGATTGGCTTTCTGATGAGTATTGAGGAAAGGTTGTATGAGGGTATGGCAGAGATTAATTCTTCTCAGTTATCTAGTTCCTCCTCCTTTCATTCTAGAATTAGAACCCCTATGGTTTAGCTGGCAGCATGGTTACCCACTCTAGGTTTCATCTGCTTCTGATGATAGGTATGACTGTATGCTTACGTTTGAGCCAGTTATATATGAACAGAAGTGAAATATGCAATTCTGGATTGGCTTTTAATGGTGCTTGTCCTGGATTTCATCTGCCCATTCTCTTTCCTCTCCCATTGACTGGAAAGCAGCAAACAGGAATGGCAACAACTGTCTTGAACTCAAATAGAAGCCCTGTCCTGAGGATATCAGCCCTGGATGACCTTGTGGAGAAAACTAACTACTACTTGCTCTCCCCCCAGCCACCTGTGTATCTCCATGTTGTTTCATGAAAGAGAATACATTTTTTGTTTGTTTGAGCCATTGTATTTTGGTATCACTTTATTACAACTGTTTAACCCATACCCTATAAAATGCCAAAATTTAGTACCTGAAATGGGGTACTGCATAATAAAAAGCTGAAATGCATGGCATTGGCTAAGTGGTTGGCTGACATACATTTAAAAAAAAAAAGTCAAAAAACCACTGACCCTTAATTGTATAGTGGTAAAATATTTGGTGAAACTGTCACCTCTGATAATTTTTATAAGGCATCAATTTCTCTATCCAGTCTACATCTCCAGGGAAGTGGTTAGAAAGAATCAGATTGCTAATACCAGTAGAGTCTGCTTGCTTCTTTAGCGGGAACTATAAGGGGGCATCAAATAAAGGTGTTGAGAGCCACAGCTGAGTCAGAATGACGCCTGGCATATTGCCAGAGCGAATGGTTGAAAAGTGATGCCAGCAACCATTGAGATGATGATTTGAGTTAAGCTGTATATAATTGCTGTGATGCTGGATTGATTGAGTTGTATACAACTCTGGGAATCTGAATCTGAATCTACTTTGGAGTTTCCCATGGAGTTCTCCCCGGGGTTTGCAGAGATTGGGCGCGGGGAGCCAGGTGAAAGGGGTGTGTTCCCGAGGAGTGTGTGTGCAGTGCCAGTGAGAGTTGGGGAATAAAGAATTGCTGTTTGAACCTACAACGCTTTGTGGCGGCTCGGTTATTTGTGCCCAGCCAGACTGCGGTATAAAGGGCCAGTTAGTTTGTATTTAGAGTTCAAAGGGATTGTGTAGTTTATAGCTATTGAAGTTTCTTTTTTTCCCCATGGTCTGTAGTCTGAACTGACTGTAATGTGGGGCATTGCAGGGTTGGAAAAAATTGTTCCTGTGTGCCAGACAGTAAGAGGTAAGCTTGTCATTCTCAAAAACCTTCTGCTAGATTTTCTTGGCTCAACCTTGGAAGCTATTGGAAGCTAGTCCAGGCAGAAACTAAAGTAAGGATTTGCTTTTTCACCTGAACCAGTCAGTTGAACTAAGTAAAAACTGCAGTTTCAAATACAAAGTTTTAATTCCCTATAACAATAAAGGTGTATTTCTTACTCATGATATGTTGGCTGTGGCTATGTTCCACATCCTCTGTCACACCCAAGATTTAAACTGAAGAAACACTGCCATTTTTGGGCAGGGGGACATTACCATTTTTGTGACAGGAAAAAGAGAAGTGGCAGAACCAGCTTCTTGTAAGTGACTTATTACTTTTGTTTTTGTTTTATTGGCCAAAGCAAGCCAAATGACTAAGCCTGAAATCAGTCTGGTACGAAGGAACATCTCAAGTCACATGGCCAACCCTGATGTCATTGAGGTGGAAAAATCCTCTTGGTGTGAATCAGATGACCTCAAGGCAGCTAGCTGTAAATCAAGAGAAAGAGGGATAGGTCTGCCACTGATGCCAGAAAATAAAAAATAGAGTTGACAAGTTTAATATCTATGACAAACAAAATCTTTACTTGTGGTTACTTTCATGTGGCCCTGACAGAAGACAGACAGACATATTGAGTTTTTGAGATGATTATGTTGTCAAAAATCCAAAACGTTTGGTTTGCAAAAGCCTGTGTTGTTTTGATGTTGTTTGACACTTAGTAGTCAATAATCCTTAGCTCCCAAATTTGCACCAGCAGGAAGTAGGCAATTGGATCTTTGCTTCACTGTTGAAGCACGTTCTCTTCTGTGTCCACTTCATATATGGCCAGAAAGAATAACGGAAAAGAAAAGAATCTTTCAGTGGCCAAGACAGGGCTCTTATAGACAAATGGACAAGGAAATTCCCTTCAGAGACCAGAACCTGAATTTAACCAAAAAACTTACATTCTGCTGGAGCATGGATTCTTTGCAATTCTTTTCCAACAGTATTTCATTGTTGATAAAATAAGGTATTTGGTATTCTTTTCAGAATGTAAAACTTAATTGTATTTGACCACTGAGTATTGGATGTGATGATGATAGTAAATAGCAAAGATTACTTCTCTATTAATTTATAGGTCACTGGATAGGGAAGGAGCCACATGGATACCTGTTAAAGAGGGTTGTCATCACTCAGAGATTCTAGACTTTGAACAGATTCCAGTGATGAGTGGAACTTCCAATTAACTCATGTGAAAGGAGATGACTGTTGCATAGGGGGAAGAAGGATGCACTCCCACCTCTGATATTTAGCTAGGCATGTAGGTCCCCCCTACCCTACCCACCTCTCTCTCTATATATAAATCTTATTTATCAGGCTCCTTATTGCTAGATAAAGTCACTAAGCCAGTTTCTAAGTTTTGGCAGTAGGGTGAGAGTGGAGCTGTGATATATGCTACTTTTAAAGCAAATTAGTAATAAAAAAAAAAGCTGCTTGTCTGTCGTACTCTTTTGCCCATTTCCTTTCCTATCCATGAAGTGTTGGTGAGCTAGCCAGCAGTGGTGGTGCCCCAAGGAGAGGTGAGATGAGACATGTGGGACCTTAGTCTCTGAATGACCTTGCAGAGCAGAGCTATCTCCCTCCCTGGACCACTTGTCTGCGCCTGTACTGTCATGAAAGAGAAATGAATTCCTCTTTTTTTTTTTTTTTGTAGCCATTGTGTTGTTGGTCTTGTTGTATAGCATTTTAGCCTATATTTTAATTGATACAGATGGCAATGCTTTAAGTGATAAACAAACATAGGAAGTTAGATTTGTAATTATTCTTGTGTTTTTTTTCAGCTGAAGTTTTTCATTTTTACATTTTTTTTTGGGGGGGTGGTATTGAGGATTGAACTCAGGGGCACTTGACCACTGAGCCACATCCCCAGTCCTATCTTGTATTTTATTTAGAGACAGGGTCTTACTGAGTTGCTTAGTGCCTCACTTTTGCAGAAGCTGGCTTTGAACTCGCCAAAACCTCCTGTCTCAGCCTCTCCAGCTGCTAGGATTACAGGTGTGTGCCACTGTGCCCGGCTCATTTTCACCTTTTATGAAAATTTATTTTTCAAATTTTTCTAATTATGCAAATAGTTTAGAAATGAAGAAATACTATTTAATATCCTTATTATAATTATGTGTCTCCCTTTTCATTTTCATAACTATGTTTTATATATTTATATTAATTTTTTTATCCTGATAGTTTCACATGGTGTCTAATTTTGTTACTTTATTAAGAGTTCTTATTCTTGCAAGTTATTGTTACTTACAACTGAGTTTTATCATATTATATTTAAAGTTTTTTATTGTTTGTTACTGTGGACTCTATCCTCCCTCCCCAAACTTATGTGTTAAAAATCTCACCTGCCATGTAACAGTATATCAGAAATGGGACCTTTAAGAGATAATTAAGTTAAATAAGGTGGTAAGGATGAAGCCCTGATCAGATAGAATATTCTTAATCTTAAAATGTTTGTTTCTTGGCTTCTGTAACATTATTCCTTCCTGATCTTTTTTCCACTTTTTGTGTTTTTTCTGTCCAGAAGAGGGCCCTAACCAGAAACTGACCATGTTGATCCTAGGCTTCCCAGCCTCCAGAACTGTGAGACAGTAAGTTTCTGATGTTTAGACAATCTTGTTAAGTTTCTGTTGCTGTGGTGTCTTGAACTGAATACGACAGAGCCCAGGCTTTTGACTACTACATCACATAGACCTTTTTTCTTGGATCATGCTGTCAATAGCAAGTGGGACTGGGAAGAAGAAGCCAAGAAAAGTAGAAAGAACATCAAGAAGAAATTATATTTCACGAGACAAATATTTTGAGGTTAAGGATGCTGGTATTGAATTAACAAGGTCCAATAATTTGTATGAATTTTCAGTTAAGAAGTCCTCTGTGCTTTTGGGAGAGCAGTTTTATGCTCGTAGGCAACATATAGGTTGAAAGAGTTAAGTAGTGGATGTGGGAGGACAATAAATATAACTTAAGCTCTTTCTAAAACAGTTGGCTGTGAAGAGAAAGGGGCAGGTAGGACAGTGGCAGGGGAGAGACATAAAGTCCAGGGTTGTATATTAGTCTCATTTGTTCATTTGTTTTATGATAGAGATACTTATGTGCAGAAAGGGAAAATTAGAAGAGAATTCAAAGAATTGTAGGGGGTAAGTGGATAAATCCCTAAGAAGGTGGATGACTTGAGTTACAGGACAGTGATCAAAGGTTAGCTTTGGACAGGAAGAGGGACACCCTTCCTCCATACTGCCAGGAAGGAGGTGAGAATGTGCGTGGCTGTTCCTCAGTGAGGGAGGAAACCAAGGAAGTGTGACCTAATAACCTTTCTTTTGTTTCTGGGAAGGTGATGTCATTTGGTAAGTGAAAGGGGAGTAGGAAACCTGAAGAAAGTGGTGGAGGTTTGAAATTGATTGTGTGGGAAGTAATGGAGGGAGCTGATAAGGAACCCAAGGAAGGATTGATGGGCAGCAGTGAGACGGGCTGAGATGGGAGGCCATGTATATGCAGAGTTCTTACTCCTTGTGAATAGGGGCTTTCATAACAGTGGTCTCTAGTCCAGATGTGGGAAGTCCATCTTTAGATTGATCCTTAGGTGTGTAGTAGAAGGACAAGCCACCAAGAGAGTTAAGAATGTAGGGCCAGAAAATGGGCAAAACCTGGCACTCAGATCCTAGGTTATACTGGATAAGCAGTGAAGTTTGGAGTATAGATAAAAAATTGGGAAAAAGAAGGGAGGGAAAGTGGATAAAAACTTGAAGCATAAAGAGATTTAAGATCAGGTATGGTTCAATTGGTCATTCATTCATCCACACAATAAATATTAATTAAGCACTTATCTCCTAGATACAGTTTGAGATGCTATGGCTATGTAGATCAAAACAGAGCTTAGTTCTGGTAGGAGAGTACATCACACACACACACACACACACACACACACACACACACACACTCACACTTAAATTTCAGATGGTAAAAAGGTATTACAAAGAAAAATGAAAAAGAACAAGAGATAGAATGATATAGACGCTGTTTTGAATAATGTGTTCAGGGAAGAGGCTCTCAGACGTGAACTCTGAGCAAACACATAGATATCATCAGATACACAGCAATGCAGATGTCTAGGGAAGAATTTTCCAGGGTAAGGAAATTGCACTTAATCCCACAAAGATTTGGTGGGGCTTTGCTTGAGGAGCATCCATGCTACTAGGAGGTATGAGTGAGGAGAATGGTAATCAACTAGGAGCATGATTAGTGGTAATCAGTTAGGGCCAATGAAAAGATTTAGGATTTTACCCATGACATGGGAAAGCCATTGGAAGGTTTCAGACAGAGGAGTGACACCATTTTTCTTACTTTGCTGAAGGCTCACATTGGCTGCTTTTTGGAGGATTGGCGATAGAAGTCTAGGAGGCAAGAGATTGCAGTCCCTAAGTAGCATGTTGGAATTTGGATTTCAGAAGTTGAATGCTTCTGGGTGAAGAATCCCTTTTCTGTTCCTTTAAGCAGAGGCAGCCACTCCACAATAGGCATTCTTTTCTGTGGATAAAGACCTGACCCTGGCCTTTGGCTAATGCCGCACCCTTTCCTGTTTTTGAGGGCTCCTCACCCACTTCATTATTCATTCTCCTATTTGTCCACACCTTGTCTTTTCAGATCTGATGTACATCTTGTCTTCCTGACCAAGAGGTCCTTTTGGTCTTTTTTCAGACCCTTTTTATCACAGTCTTCAGAAAACATACCTGGAAGTTCAGTGTGTAAACCAGGGGGAAGTGAGGGGAATGGGGTTGCTCACTTGCAGTTTTCCTCTGACCCTGCATCAATTTAGATACCTCCAGAAAAGCCCAAGCCTCCCAATTCACAGTGTGGAAAAGCCCTGCATTGAACTGTGATATTGCCTTTCTTGTACTAAGCCATATCTGGGATCACCTTAAGTCCTTCTTTTCCAGCTTAACCTGTACCTTCATAATCCTTAGGCACCCAGCTTACTAAATAGTGGCATGTGCATCTCCTAGTACAAGGTGGTGCGCGGAGGGCACTCAGAACCATGAGGGAGGCATGGTGCATCTTCCTGTGTGTACTCACTGGCTGTTATTTACTAAATTAGTTCAGTAAAAATCAATGTAGTTTCAGTTATAAGCTGTGGGTTCTATCATTCTCAACAAATTCTTTTATTGACCATAATTAAGGATAGTACATATTTTTATAACAAAAGAAAATAGATGTAATTTAGAGAGCAATATTTGTGTGGATCTTAAAAAAATTCTACACTATCAAGAAATTTGAATTTTGCATGGGCCACTTAGGGTTATGCCTTCTCTCTCCTGGGGATGATTAGGTCCTTCTATGTTAGGAACCCTTTATTATAAATGGTTAGAACTACCTTTTTAAGTTGTTGAATTTGTAATACTGTATTTTTTATGTTTAATGGAGCTATTATAACATTTTTATTCAGCATGGAATTGGACACTGCCATGATTTAGACTATGAACCATCAGGGTTTTCTGGCTAAAGGTAAAAATATAAGTATTTTCTTTTAATTAATTTTGATAAATGCCATTAAATCAAGCACTGCTGTCTTACAAAATGCTTTGTAAGAACCAGATGATGGCCTAGTAATTGGAATAGTACTCAAAATAAGGTTGTCTTAGGTCACAAAATAAGTTTCATGCTTTGGATTTTTAAAAGATATGTGTGTTATCCTATCCTCTCAAGAAACTCTATGATGATTCCTGAGTTAAGGATGTATCTTCAGATACTAGAATAAAAACTTTCTTTGTCAGGACTGTTTACCTTTAGGGAATTAATTTAGGGATAGGGGTTTTGCATAACCGCCAAATTATGAAACTAATGAGGACAAGAATTTGGTTATGTTCATTGATAAATCCATTCTCCTCATTCAGACCTCCCAGTGTCATGGATGCTCCTCAATAATATCAATAGCAGGTATTTAAATACTCGGCATTCACATGTTACACTTACTACTTTTTTAGTGAATGAATAAACCATCTTTGATATAGCTGTGGAAGTGATGTTATCTGCTTTTAGATACAGGAGAGCTTTAGGATTGAAAGAGGGAGCCTTCCTAACTTTGGTGTCACAATGATGTGGCTGTCACTACATGACCCCTTTAAACTAATAGAAATAGTAACACAGCTGTAAGTTTTCTTTAGAGTCTGACTGCCAATTGTCAAGATTGTTTAATTATATGACATACCAATTCTGTCTGCAAAATGGGGATAGCAATACAGAATCTGTTGGTGCATGTAACTGCACTGGGATTAGGTGAGGTACATAGAATGGGATAAAGTCCTTGTAAATCATGAACTTATGTCCAGAATTTATTTAAAAAATAAAAAACCTCGTACAACTCAGTAATAAAAAGATACTCAAGTAAAAATTTCTGAACAGATATTCCTCTAAAGATGATTTACAAATGGTTAATAAACACATGAAAAGATGCTTAGTGTTAATTAGTCACAGGTAAAAAACAAATCAAAACTACATAGGATACCATACTAAACCCACTAGTTGACTGTTATCAAAAATAGTAACAAGTAACAGATAATGATGTGGAGAAACTGGAGCCTTCATATGTTGTTGTAGGGATTGTAAAGGAGAAAGAAGCTGCTTTCGAAAACAGCTTGGCAGTTCTTCAAAAGGATAAAACACATTACCCAGCACTTCCACTCCTAGGGATCCACCAACGATACATAAAAATAAAAAGCCACACAAAACATGTACATAAATATCCAGAGTGACATTATTCTAATAATGCATAGTTAGTAAAAATCCAAATATCTATCAGATGAATAAATAAACAAAATATGTTTTGTTCACACCATGGAATATTATTCAGCATTAAAATGAACTGTCATGTGCGACAACATGGATGAATTTCAAAACATTATGCTGAGTGAAAAACTCAGACACAAAAGGCAATGTGTTGTATGATTTCATTTATATAAAATGTTCAGAGTAGGCCAGTCAGTAGGGATTAAAAAATAGATTAATGAGTTGGAAGGGTTGGAGGGGAGGAGTGCACAGTGACTGCTAAATAGGTAGAGTTTCTTTTTGAGATGAAAATGTTCTAAAATTGTGGTGATGCTTTCCAAATTCAGTGAATATATTACAATTGCTATATTGTATACTTTAAAAGGGGGAATTGTATGATATGTGAATTATACATCAATAAAGCTATTAAAAAAAGAATAAATGAGATAATATGTGGGCATATACTTTGAGTTATTTAAGAAGATACTATTATTATTTTAATTTGACTCTGAGGCTTTTAATAGTAGCAAGATGACTTAGATGTTTTTCCTGACTTGCAAGCCTGTGATTTTTATGCCATGACTCAACTTTATAAGGCTGTAACTCAGTAATATAAAATATCGAAAATGTTGAAACATAAAAGGAAAACTGCTTGGTCTATTATTTTTATTTAATAGGATTTTCTGAATCAGTTAATTAGCAATAAGTAGAATATGTCATTAAGGAATTAGGTTTTAGATTCATAAAATTTTAGAGCTAGAAGAACTTCAGAAGTCATCTATTCTTAGCTTTTTCATTTTGTTTTGTGAGAGAACTGAGACCTTAGGTCACA